AGTTAGCTATGCAAACTGCAGCTGAAAGGACAGATAGCAAGCCAACACAATGAAGACAGGTGAGGCCACAAGGGCCAAAAGCAAGCAAAACTTATGACAAGGTAAAGCCCTCACAACTTTAGAAATGAACTATAAGCTAACAAAAATAAATACAGTATACAATTCATTGCGGGGGCGGGGGCGGTGAAGCCCTAAGTAAGCAGAATCTATGAATAAGCTAAATATATGAGGTAGAGAAAAAAGTAAAACAAAGTGGATTGGCAAGTCGATAGGCAACAGGAGAAGTAAGACACAAAAGTTAAGAAGAGTAGCTAAGTTACATAAATAGTACAATCCTAACATGAAGCTCTACAAGCTCCTGCTGCTGAGTTTCCCAGAGCTTCTCTAGCCCCAGGTCCCATCCCTAAATGGGCATAACCATAAAAAGGTCTCCCTATAATTGGAATTTCATGTGATCCCAGTCATCATTATCTCCCTATAAGTCACCAGCCAATAACCTGTCATTAGTTTACTGGAGAATTTGTCTCTAACAATCAGAAGTGCTTCACCAACTGTAAGAAGCAAAATAACCCCTCAAGAGGAATTCAATTTAGGGAATTGGCTATGATCTTGCAGAAAATCCCTTGTTTTAAAGATGCTGTGCAAGCCAGCTTGTGATATGGAATTTATATTTTATACCAACTTCAGAAGGTGAGACTCTGAGGGACTTGCTAGATGTGGCAAATAAGCAGCAAGCAGTGTTAGGGAGCTAAACCAGATAGAATAAAGTAGACATGTCAAAGTGTCACTCATGCCTAAAATTATTCTGAAGGAAACTGTACTGGAACAAGTCTACCTTAAGAAAGCATTCTTGTGACCAACTATTCCTTGTGTGAATCCATAGCTCTTCAGATCAAGGCTAAGTAAGGATCAGACCTGAGGAGAGACATCCACAAGCCAGTCGATAGCGTATGACCAGTCATGACATGAAAGCTATCCCCAAACAAGGATGAGGTAAGAAAATTAGATTCAACTTACAACTGAGGAAAAACAGAGGGACAAAAACTAGGCAGCTGAAGTGAATGGATATGCAATGAAAGAACATACCACAGCCTATGTAAGACTCATGAAGGATTTAAGTAAGATGAACTGGTAAGCACAGAAAACTGAAGCTAAAATTAAGCAGAAACTATCCATCAACACTAGAATAAAGAACAGAGGATGAAGACTTCCTCGGTGGTACAGTGGATAGGAAATCATGTGCCAGTGCAGGGGACAGGGGTTCAATCCCTGGTCTGGGAAGATTTCACGTGCCACGGAGCAAGCCCATGCACCACAACTACTGAGCCTGTGCTCTAGAGCCTGCAAGTCACAACCACTGAGCCTACATGCTGCAACTACTGAAGCCCAGTGCCCTAGAGCCCATGCTCTGCAAAAAAGAGAAGCCGCTACAATGAGAAGATCCATCCACCATAACAAAGAGTAGGTCCCACTCACTGCAATTAAAGAAAAGTCAGTGTGCAGCAACAAACACGTTGCACAACTAAAATAGAAAGAAAGAAAAACAAAAGAACAGAGGATAAGGAAACCAGAGAGCAGCAGAAAGAGACTCAAGAATATAGTGAAAGTAGGGTCATGTAGTCATTTGTGAAACTACTGCTTCCAAAGATGGTTAGGTATGGCACTTTTGGATGTCCCATGACTGGGTTGTCTTCTAATTTTAGAGCAATTAAATGACTATGGAGATACCTACAACAGATGAGTTGTATTAGTCTAAAGCACTTCAGTATTATAAAAAGGGAAAGAAAGACATTTCCACATAGCAATCAATAGGGGGAATGTCCTAGACCTGCCAAATAACAACTGCTACCTCTACAGTCAACCCACAGGCAATCAGATTCACAATTTAATGACAACTGGGCAGCACAGAGAACAAGAGCAGAAACAGATAGTTTGCAGAAAGATGATATAGAATGGAGGCCACATCTACAGAGACTGCACAAGCTCAAGTTATGAATGAGGGGGAAAAAAAACCCTACATATTCAGTAGCTTAGTAAGCAGAGACATTAGTTTGCCAACAAAGGTCCATCTAGTCAAAACTATGATTTTTCCAGTAGTCATTTATGAACGTGAGAGTTGGTCTAGAAAGAAAGCTGAGCACCAAAGAATTGATACTTTCGAACTGTAGTGTTAGAGAAGACTTGAGAGTCCCTTGGACTGCACAGAGATCCAACCAGTCCATCCTAAAGGAAGTCAGTCCTGAATATTCATTGGAAGGACTGATGTTGAAGCTGAAACTCCAATACTTCGGCCACCTGATGCAAAGAGCTGACTCATTGGAAAAGACTCTGATGCAGGAAAGATTGAAGGCAGGAGGAGAAGGGGATGACAGAGGATGAAGTGGTCAGATGGCATCACTGACTCGATGGACATGAGTTTGAGCAAGCTCTGGGAGTTGGTGATGGACAGGGAAGCCTGGCATGCTGCAGTCCATGGGGTTGCAAAGAGCTGGACATGACTGAGCAACTGAACTGAACTGACTCAGTAGCTAGGAGGCAGAGGAAGACAGAGTATGAGAAAATCAGATGGAAGTAGAAGTAAGATGACATGCAGAAAACCAGAGAAATAAACTGAATCACATTAATAATACCACAATGGAGTCGAGTTCTGTAAACTTCTTAAACTGATCCAAATGAGCCCATTTCTTACAAAAAATTTTGGATTATAAGGAATAGACCCTGAAAATGAATGCAATATGGAACTGGTTATTTTGAAGCAATAAGGTAGTTGTTTGTGGTTGTTGCTGTTCAGTAGCTAAGTCATGTAGACTCTTTGCAACTCCATGGACTGTAGCCCGCCAGGCTCCTCTGTCCATGGGGTTCTCCAGGCAAGAATACTGGAGCAGGTTGCCATTTCCTTCTGCAACGGATCTTCCTGGACCAGGGATTGAACCGTGTCTCCTGCATTGGCAGGCAGATTCTTTACCACTGAGCCATGAATGTAGACAGCCAAGCAAATCACTTTCACATCCCAGAACATAATACTAATGACATACAAAGAATCCAGTCTGCCTATCACCTGTGTGCTCAGAAACTTAAAACTGTGAAATATGGACAGAAACAGGTGATCAGTAGTGGAGACTACAGGTGAAAAACTGCTTTAAGAGGTTATGATGGGAGATGAGTCATGAACATGAGGAAGTCCACTATGACTAAGCAGAAACTTTGAGAGCAAAAGTTATTAAAGCAAAATGTCACAGAGCTGATACCGGCAAACAGCCTACAGGCCAAATCCAACACCATTCCTCTCTTTTATATAAATATGGTTTTACAGAGCACAGCCACATTTGTCTGTTTATGTACTGTTTCTGGCTGCTTTCACTACAGTGGCAAAAACCACATGGTATACAAAGCCTAAAATATTTACTATCAGGCCCTTTATAGAAAAAGTTTGCCAACTTCTGCCACAGAGGACAGAATAGGCCAGTGGTAGCAAAACTGAGAAGTCACAAAGGAGAAACAGGGGCAGAAAGAATATTTGCCATGTTAAAAAGCAGAACACTAAAGATTCTGCTGAGATCCCCACTAGTACTCTTACTATTATCCACTGAACCCTGAATTTGCTGGACATTTAGACAAACTAATTAAATAACACAAATCAAAGAGAAGATCCTCAGGGGGAAAAGATTTGTATTTAAAAGTAAATAAACATGAACTATATGAAACTACAAAGATAAACTATATTTATCTTTACTATGAAATGCAAGGGGAAAACAAACCATAAACAAAAAAGATACTTGAGATATATAAAAATGAACAACTTCTGTCTCAAATTGAGGAAAACATGAGGAAAATATATCCGTGACATATATAGTAGATTAAAAATCAGTGCAAAAAATAAACTCAAAAATAAGACCCAAGAAAGATACTAGCTGTTCCATCTCATTAGGAATCAAATAAATTAAAATATCAAGGGAGACCACTTCTCACCTTTGCAACTGGCAGAGTTTTAAGAGCCATAATATATTAGTAAGGATGTGGAAAAAAATAGGTATTTGCATATATTAGAGGAATTATACTTTTAATCCAGCCATAGGAAACAAACACGGATATGTGCAAAAACATATTTACAGGGATGTTCACATTAAACATTATTAATACAAATTTAGAAGGGCAGCAATTGAACTAACACCCAAATACCAGATACAAATTATTTTTTACATTATAATACCAATTAAAACATGTTTGTGCTGTGTTGTGCTTGGTCGCTCAGTCATGTCTGACTCTTTGCGACCCCCTGGACTGCAGCCCGCCAGGCTCCTCTGTCCACGGGGGTTCTCCAGGCAAGAATACTGGAGTGGATTCCCATGCCCTCCTCCAGAGGATCTTCCCAACCCAGGGATCCAACGAACCAGGTCTCCCACATTGCAGGCGGATTCTTTACTGACTGAGCCACCAGGGAATTTCAGTTTATTATTAATTCTTTTTATTACACAGATATTTAAGATGGCATGGGACATGCTTGAGATCTGCTAAATTTAAAAGCTTAGGCAACAAGGTTTCATTAATGACCCTACCATCAACAACTGACAAAGACTGTCACTCCAACCAAAACCTCACTTTGAACATAGAAACAAAGTAGTAAAAAATCAAATAGAAAGTAAAATTTTAAAATAGCAAAGGTAGCAGACCTAATTCAATATTATTGAAAACGAGGAAATTTTATTCTGGAAATATAAGGTAGTTTCATTACAAGGAAAGGTATTAAATATAACAAATACAACAAAAAGGGCAAAGAAAAAGATTTACTTCCATGTTTATTTCCATGTTTACTTCCAACACGTACTTGACTGAGATCCCTGTTATTATGTCCAGATCACGTTTTGAGACATCAACGGGAGGATTAATTCCTCCTAATCCTGAAAGCCATTTAGGGTTTGATATAGCAAATTACCAAAGCCACAGCCCCCTACATTGCCCCCTACATTGACTGCTAGGAGAGTGATTATATCCCAACTAACCTGTGTATCAGATTCACTTCTGGGCCTACGTAGGGTAGAAGACATTCTGAAGAAGGCAAACACTGGAAATGATAATGTAAGAGTAAGAAGAAATAACAAACATAAAGACAGTCATTTCTAAGTCATGCAAAGAAAGACCTGTGGCAAGGAAAAGGATCCTTTAAGGGATGATAATATTAACAACATGGTCCATGAAGATTCTATTACTCTACCAAGAACTCAAGCTAATGTCTAGATGACTATTAAGTCATGCACATAATGCACAGATCATGAGACACTTTCCAGTGCTAACTTAAGTATAGCTGTATTACTGTTATTACAAGTATTTTGAATAAAAATCACCTTGAATGTTTGCTTTATCACCTCAAGTCTTCCTGTCTTAAAGACTTCATGTATATATATTATAGAGCAAGGATGGCATGCTATGGTCCATGGGCTGAATCTGGGCTGCTACCTGTTTTTGTTAATGAAGTTATATTGGAACACAATCCTGCCCACTTGTTTCCATATTGTCTATGACTGTTTTCATGCTAGATAGTGTGACTCCCAGCTCTACCACTGGCTGGCTGTTTTACATGGGTGGCAACACCTCTCCAATCCTCAGTTTTATTATCTATGAAGTAGGAAAAAAATCCTACTTCCCAGAGTTAATTTAAAATTAGATAACAAATATGTGTAAAGCACTTGCCTAGAACATAAAAGGTGCCTATAACTGATAAGCACTGCTATTAATATTATATGACTTCAGAAATTTCCAAAAGCTATGTGTAGGTGCTAGATGACTAGCCTAAAGAGAAAAGAAAAAGAAAAAACAACAGATCTGCTGTCACAAAAGCAAGAGAAGATGGATAACAAGGCTAGGGAAGTACTAGGAAAAGAAATGGCATTCAGAGAGGAAAAGCCAAATTTATACAACCCATTTGGGCCCATATAGAGAAAGTAACAGGACTTTTTAAATTGCATGCTAACATTCATATCCTTATATGTAAAAAATGTCATTTCAAAATATGTTGTGGTAAAAGACACAGACCTCAGGGACTCTCTTTGTATCAGTGAGTATTTCCAACTTCTCTGTAGGGAAAAGACCACTTTTTTATCATTCAGGTTACCTGTGCAGGCTAATCTACCTAATTATGCCAACAGAATTATCCAAACACACCAGAGAAAAACCAAGAACATTATGTTATGAAGGCACCATCTCAAGACCATCCCTATGAGAAAAGGTGACTTTTATTGCTTCCATGAAAAATGGCAGATACCAAGAAATGATCTGACCTTTGGGTATCAACTTTAGATAGAGGAGCTTAAGATAGGGGTGGCTTCTGCAGAGATCTCCCAAGAATGGCCATTTTATAGATGCTGCCTCATTTAATTATGAACCATTTCAGTACTCCTTAAAGCCTATTAGGGGGTCAATCCCTGAGGAGCCAAAAATGAATGCTAGTCCAGTTTAAATGAATTACACTAAAGATGCTGCTACCTCTGAAATTACTAATCCAAAGTGCTATATTCTTGTCTACTGCTTAAGTAATAAGCTTCTGCTAATGAGCTGGCTTTTGACAAGATGTATGCAGCTCCATAGGCTGATGAAGAAAAACTCTCAGTAAGTCTGGTTTAAAAGAATAGACTCTCACCAAAGGGACTGAAATCAGTGCATGCTGACATAATTTATGACATGTAGCTCATGCCACCTAGTTTACTTAGGAACCATTTCAATTCTTCTGATCCTCTGCAGGGGTGATCTCAGACTGGGTAAACATATAACCTACCCCAACTTTTTTGAGAAGGATATATTGTAGAATAAACCACAGGCTTTAAAATTACTGGCCCCTAGAAATGACATTCCTACAAGCCTCCCTGATAGGAGTCAAGACAATGTCAGTCTTTCCTCCTTCACTTACCTTAATCACTGTGAACCTTAACCACTGAGAAGACCCACTCTTCTGCTGCACAGGCACTCACATGGAAAATCTGGTAGACTCTAAAACACTTTTCGAAGATATTCTCCACAGTTCAGCCTAGTGAGGGGTTACAAAAAGGAAAAAGACTGCCTTCATCATCTGTGACCCTCCTATACTGTTTGGTCAGTCTCCATTGCACTGAGAGAGGGTGGAAGGTACTAAACAGGAGAATGGGAAGGGGGGAGAAAAACACAGTATTATTTAGTCCAACTCAACAAAATTTTAATGCCATTTTTACACCAACTTTTTACAAAAACTTCTTATTTACACCAACATTTTTACAAAAACTTCTGATTTAACATTTATGATACACTATTTATTGGTTATTTATTCTTTTGTTTACTCTCACAGGAATTAAAGTCCCATGATGGCAGGACTTTGTTAATATCTAGAACAGTCTCCAGCACTCAGTGAGCACCTAATAAATATATGTTGAAGGAAGGGGGGAAGTGCCACATCAGAACCATCTCTTTTCTATCAACTGGGGAACCCCACCAAACCACCAGCAACTTACCAAGATTTCCCAACCACCTCACAAGGACATCCAGGGCAACGATGCTTCATTCTCGTTTGCTCGTAAACCCACTGGGCATGATGCCTCAGGAAGTGACAAGTAGGTCTTACTTGTTACTTGTTGCTCTTGACCAGTGACAAAGTTCCTAGCTGCCCAAGAATCTGCATTTTTAACAAGTATCCCAGGTGATTTTATGAATAATAAAAAATTTACATCATGGATATTTCCTTTATCAGAGGAGCACAATCTCAGAGGCTATTAAAAAAACCATTCACAGTGTGAAATAAAAATGTTTGTCTCACATGGCCTCCATGGACTTAGATGGACTCTAGAGAAAGCACTAGGTGGTAGACACAGTACTGGGCAACAATTCAAATCTATTTTCTACACCAACTAGCTATGATCTTGTAAGAGATCATCTGCAAAAATGCAAGAATGGGAAAAGGAGAGGTTAGGCTCAGTATTCTCTAGTATAGTCTGAATATTTTAAGACCTTTTTTCATGTCATAATGGGAAAATATGAAGTAACTGCCTAGGCCTAGTAAGACTACCTCTCCTGGCCCTTCCCACTAACTGGGCAAGCCCACCAGAGCCACTGACCACTTACTAAGACTTCACAATGGTTTGATAACCATGTGCAGGATGCTGACTTGAGCCTCTTCCAATTCTCTAGTAACCTCATTGGCCAGGCAGGGCTCAGTATACCTCTTCACCTGTGGCATGGATTCTGATCAAGTTTGGTGTCACCTGTAGGATAGGGAGAAGGAAGAAGAAACAAAGGTAAGAACAGTCAAAGTATGATATCTAGCTTTAATTTTACTTTTACCACCTTAGACAAGTCATCTAGTCCACACCATGGACCTCAGAATTCACTCTTGTCAAGCACTATTATTAGCATTACAATTATCTTCTTTATCTGGCAAAGACTCTTACAACACCCACAATTATTATTTAATAAGGATCCTTGCCTCTATTTTAAATGAGACATCTTGGATACAGAGGCACCAAGTAAATACACCAAAGCGTTAGAACTCAGATCTGAACTAATGCTGATCCTCCTAGCTGCCTATCCTCTTTAGAGCTCAATCAATATCCTATCTTTGAATGGAGGTAAACTTGGTATCTTAGGGGCCCTTCTGCCTGGCAATTATGACTCTTTATTCCATATTCCTGACTAAAAGTGAACTAAACCTCCATCTAATCATCATGTGGCACTTGGTTCACACTGATGAGGAAAGGTAACAAAACCCTGGTCTCTGGACCAAGGCCTGTCATTTACAATCTCAACTCCCACCAGGACTCACCTTACCCGTACATGAAAAGCAATAGAAATATCTTTTCCCTTATCAATTGTGTGCATTACCAAAAGGATCACAAGGAGCTAGGTAGGCCCGTGGCTAGTCCTCTACCTCCAAGACCCAACCACGAGGAGGAATGGGGCTCTGAGACCTGAGGCCCACACAGGATAAGCCAAAGTCCCCAAAGGGTTCTTTCTAAGGAAGCAGCCTACTGCCTCTAAGTTTCCCAGTCCCTAGCTGCTTTGCATGAAAAGCAACCCAGAAATCTAGAAATTCAGTGATGACCCAAAGCCCAGGGTATTAATTATCATTAGATGCTGGCACCACCAACTACTATAACTAGACTTCCTCTCACTGCAGGGAGGCGCAGGCAACCTTGGGTCCCAGAAGACCCAAGGAGCAGTTTCTCAGGGCTTATTTTTCAGTTTCACCTACAGTTAAACAGAATACAGTGTCCTATAATTTAGTAGTGGTAATGAAGCCCAAGAGAAAGCTCTCCTACCGTAAGTTAGGAAGATTCACACTGGATAGTGTAAGTGTTAGGGGGTGAGGGTGAGGCAGCTTTGATGGGTTTGAGCCTTCTCTTTATTGGATAAAGTAAAGCAGCCATTGCTGCACACCCATAAGCAGCTGTTCCCATCAGCAACTTTTCAGCTTATTAAGTCCAAAAAGGGGCAGGGTTGGCAAAGGAATGTGTATAGGTCCTAATTGGGAAACACACAGTAAGTGCAAAGCCTGACTCATTGAAATGCCTGCACTAACGAACCAAGAAGAGTTAGTAGTTAGTGCCTTTCTCTAAAGATATAGGTCTTATTTCCACCATACCCTACTCCCACCTGGCCCAGTTCTTTTCCAAACTAAACTGCTCCAGTTCCCAGCTCCCTCACCAACCCATTTATTCCACTTCTGTTAGGGTCAGCAAACTTCAAAATGGAAACCATTTCAATGTCTGTCTTAACTTTGATAGTCATAAACACACAGTGAGAAAAAAAATTCCAGAAATACATTAAGAATAGAAAGCAAAAGTCATAGAATCCCAGAAAGTTTAACACTTGGGATATATTCTTCTTATAACTTTTATGTACACGTACAAACATGAATTTTTTCTTTTTATTGGGGGATAATTGCTTTAAAATATTGTGTTGGTTTCTGCCATACATCAACATGAATCAGCCACAGGTATACATATGTCCCTTTCCTCCTGCATCCCCCTCCCATCTCCTTCCCCATCCCATCCCTCTAGATTGTCACAGAGCACTGGGTTGAGTTCCCTGTGTCACACAGCATAATCCCACTTGCTATCTATTTTACATATGGTAATGTTCATGTTTCAATGCTACTCTCTCCATTCGTCCCACCCACTCCTTCATCCACTGTGTTCACAAGTCTTTTCTCCATGTCTGTGTCTCCATTGCAGCCCTGTGAACAGGTTCATCAGTACCATCTTTCTAGATTCCATATGCATGCATTTTATTTAATAAACTAGATGAAACCATAGCCTTTCTTTCAATTACTATACTGGGTACATCTTTCCAAGTCAAAAATTCATCTACAAGACTATTTTTAGTGCCTATGTTGTATTATTACATGAATACACCAAAAAATTTATTCAAAGTCCTATTAAAGAACAGGTAAATTTTTTTCCATTTTTTATTGCTATGAGCATTCCCATGCCTAAATCTTTTAAAATATCCTTAGAATATTTTTGAAGAATATTTAAAATTTATTTAGAATATTTAGGGTATAGCTCTAGAAATGAAACTCCTGGGTCAAAGGATATGCAACATTTATTGTGTCCACTAATATATATTGCCAAATTGCTCCTACAAAGGATTACATGGAAATTGGATCTATCCCACCAACACTAGTGTAACATTTTTAAATCTTTGCCCATGTGATAGATGTTAAAGGTAATATTGCATTTTTTATGAATACAGACATTTTTTACTTAAGAGAATTACAAAGATGAGCAAGATATAGCCTCTGCCTTTGAACTTAAATGAAAGGAGACAGACACAAACAGGTAACATTTACTATTATCATATTCATGATAAAAAAGGTTTCAGTTCATGGTGCTTCCTTTGACTCTGCAGCTATTGCCAATAGAGAAGGTCCAAGAGAATATTATTAAACAGCGGCCCCAATTTTAAAAATCCATTTACTAAAATTCCAAGCAGTTGGGCTAATGCCATCACATCAGTGACACTTGCTTATCACTTTGTTGTTTCTCCTTCACCAGTTCTTAAAGGAAAGAACCAAGTGGAAGATGCTCAGGGAACGACCTGCTCCCCCTCCCCCCAAGCCAGTGAAGTGAATGAAGTGTAGGGCAGTATATTACTGGAAGCATTTACTGATGCTGGATCTGAACTTCCATTTTTCCTTCTCCTATTTCCAGTAAACAATGGTGAGCTGCAGCCATTTTCTTTAGGAAACAAAATGTCTTCTCTTCCTGAGACTCTTATTCTCAGGTAGATACATTTATACATAATTAGGCTGCAGTGGTATCCATGCCAACTTGGAAAATAACAGATAAGAATCAAAAGGAATTATTTTTCAGCACCATGATGGGTCAGATACAGATGAAATCAAAATAGATGGCAACACAAGTACTTTTAAAAACCCACCCAACAAAGATGGAGGGATAGGCAATAAAGCAAATACAGCAAAATGTTAATTGCGCCATCTAGGTGGTGAGTATACAAGTTTTCATTGTCAATTCTTCCAATTTTTCTGTATGAAAATTTTCATAATAAAATGCTGCAAAAAGTCCAGCAAGCAGCTTGAAAATAATGCTGTAAGGTCTTTCCCTCCATTTTACTGCTAGAATGAGACTCTCATTCTCTTCATTTTGCTTTTTTAGATCTAGATTTCTTGCATCAGACTTGGAGCTCTCCAACTTCTTAATGAAGTGAAATGAATGACAATATACTCAAGCAGGTTACCAACCCAACATATGGTAGGTTAGGGAAGGTTGAGATGAGGGTCCTAAGCTCCTGGAAGTGCAGGCTCACTACCTGTTATGTCAGAATAAGTGAATATTTCAGAAATCCCATTTCTCAGTTAAAAATTAACATTCAAACCCTCTAAACATTTGCCTCAGCCTACTTTTCTGCTTTATCTCATATGAATTCCTTATTTTCCATATTCTCATTGCAAAGAGCTGTGTAGGAAGGAGGGCAAGGGATAAGGCACCAAAGCATGATATGTCCATATGCTTGAAGTTAGGATATAACAAAAGGAATTTTAATTTCTAGGGTTGAAGCTCAAAACTTGATGTGGAAGGACACGGTACAACTGACAGACTGCAGGACTCTGGGGAAAGTCTTATAATCAATCTCCTAGTTTGAAGTGTGTCCTGATTGGCCCATCTGTAAAACAGGAAGAAGACTTGTCATAATAATCAATGAGGTAAATAAGTTTCTGAGATGTTAAAAGCATCTCTAGTGAACGGAGAGGGGAATGAAGTCATGATTGTTGAGTAATGATCCAAGATAGGATAGGCAATTTTTTTCCAGGGCTAGGCTTTGAGGGTCACCATGTCTCTGATGTGGCTCCTCAACTCTGCTGTTTTAGGTCAAAGAGGCCACGGGCAAAACATCAACAAATGAGCATAGCTGTGTTCCAACAGAACTTTATTTGCACAACCAGGCAGACCATGAGCTGTATTTGTCCACCTCTGATCTAGAATGTGAAGCCTACATAGGAATACCACTTGGAGGAGGACCTGAGGAGGAGTGTAAAGAGGATGAGTCTACATATAGGAACCATTTAGCAAACACCAGACAGTAAGGATCAGGCTCCTGATCTGGTAGCTTTCACCCAGGTTCCACCAAGGAAGAGACTGTCAGCAGCAGCAATAGTAGCAACATCTGTAAATACCAAGGACTGAAATCCAAACACAAAAATAGCAATATCTCATGAGAAATTCTTGAGAAGATATATCCATAACTAGAAAGAAACAGCAAGTTTCTGACTACACACATTTTGAAGAAACAGTTGACAGTTCAGAGCCTGTGGAGATCACGTTAGCAGGCACACAATAAATGTTTGTTGATGACCCATTCATTTATTCATCCAATAAACATTTACTGAGGCCTACTAATGTGCCAGGCTGGGGCTCTGGAGATGAAGACACTGTCCCTGCCCTCAAGGAGCTCACAGTCTAACTGATAACACAGGAAGGGAGACAGGCATATACACAGACAATTACAATACAACCTGATAAGTGCTGTAACACTTATCAGGTTGTATTATAATGGCCTATGTAAAATTCATTTCCAAGGGGCGCTGCTCCAGGCTGCTGCAGGCTGTAACATCAAGAGAGGGGAGGAACAAATTGAAGAAATCAAAGGTTAAGTGCTTTGGGGCTATTTCAAATATGCAGGCTCTCCCTAACTCCTGATCATAAATGAATTTGGGAACTAAACACTGGCATGACGAATGGGACTC